GAGGACTGCCCTGTGGCCCCAGTCCAGCTGGCATACACAGCCCAAGGTCTTGGGGGAGCAGAAGGGAACACCTCAACTTCAACAGTACCAGAAAGCTGCCACTGTTCTCAGCTCCACCATCAAGCACTACCCCAACTGCTTGGCCAAACCAGGAGCCAGGTTCTAACTTAATTCACTCCACCTACCCGCTCATCCAATTCACCTTTGGAAGTACAAAGATAAAATCATGAATATAAGCCTTATAAAGCCAGAAAATCCAGTTAGCTCACATTTAGCAGCTCACGTATCTACTACACTTCCCTTAACATTTACATAGGAGGAAAAAGCAAATTTGCATGAAGAGATCTGTTAAAAGCTGTCACTGAGCTGTTCCTGCCCGTTACAGTTTTATATCAACATCCCAATGGAACAGCAAATATGATTATGGGGAAAGTTGTGAAACTACTAAAATAGCTCTGCTTTTGAAAACATTAATCTAAATGAATTAAAAATTATGAACTACAATCACCATTAGCTTAACACTGTGATGCTGTACGGCACAAAGGAATAACCAGAACCATCATTTCAGTTTAAAAACGGCTTTAAAGTACATAGGTGCATAAAACCAGCTCATACCACTTCAGACTTAATAGATTCCAGATCTTCCTGCTTTCAGTTACCCTCAAGATTCAAGATTAGACTAAACCCACATTGTAACTTTTTATTTTTAAAAACCTCAGGAAGAGAACTACATTTCCAAAGTCTCCTTCCACCTCTTCTCCTAAGAACCTACTGCTGAAGTTGTATCAAAGCTTATACCAGCTACATAAAGCCAGTATCTTTAAACCTTGCTCTGGACAGGGCATCATCTGCACGGGATCCCCACAGATTGCTCTGACAGCACAAGATTTCCCCAAGCTGCCAACAGAGCACAACATCCCATTGTTTTTAACCAGCAGGCAGGGCACTAATTTTGGTCACAAGCAATGTTGAAGACACATACCAACAACCAAACATTGCATACCAACACTGACAGTTGAACATGCAGAAACATCACAGCCCTGGCTGCTTGTTTCCCATGGAAGAATAAAACCTATTGGGCACTCAAGCAGCTCGGCCTGAGAGGACATGAAGAAGTCAGGGCTTTGTATCATCATAGAATTACAGAATGGTTTGGGTTGAAGGGACCTTAACGCTCCTCCAGTTCCAACCCCTTGCCACAAGCAGGGACACATTCCACTAGAGCAGGCTGCTCCAGACCCCATCACCTGGCTTCACTCAAAGGCACCTCCATGGCAGGCTGATCCCAAGCAGTGTCATAGGCTTTCACCCCACAGACATGAATCAATAGGTGAAGTACTTGCTACACTGCTGAAAGCAGACCTTTGCCCTGCAAAGCCTACGTGCTGTCAAACACTGAAGTGCAAGGTGCAAAGTGGGAATTCTTCACCTCACCTGCGTTCAGCCTTCCACTTACACCCACACTGGAGAGAGAGAACTCAAAAGCTGAAAGCTTAAAAAGAGAATCGGAATAGACTGATTCATGCTAGCGCACATCGAACACTTCTGACTGGTTTAAACCAAAAAGCATGAAGGTGCCGATGAAGGGTCTTAGCTCCTGCAGCTGCAGAGAACCCCGGTGAGCTGAGCGCACGAGGGTGGAGGATGGCCACCTCCTCCTCCTCCTCACCCTCCCTCTGATGCTTCCCACTAAGTCTTGTGAAATCACTGATTATCCCTCCACTCCAACCACCCTCTTCCCCTTTTGTTGGTCCAGCTCTGCCCCAGCTTGTACTGCAGCCCAGACACTGGCAGAGGGTGAGCTGTGAAATGCCTTTTGCCCTCCAAGCAACATCTCACCTCAGCAAGGAATTACACTGGTTTATGCCCTCCTGATTAGCTAGAGGTGAACACTTCCTACATAAGAAGCCAAGAAAAATATACTGAAAAACTTTACAGTTTCTGAGAAAACATAACCAGGGCTCTGGAAAGCCCATTAGGTTTCTAGGTAAAAGCTGTTTCTATGTATTTAATTCTGTTATGCCTCTTGCAGAAACAAAGTGCAGGACGAGGTAACCATGAGAAGATACATTAATTGTATTAGTAAGATAATGAAGGCAATTCATCTGAAAACACGTTAGCATGATAGTTCACAAATTGGCCAAAAGTAATGGTCTATAAAACCACTTAGTATGAATGTTATTGAACTTTATCTAAAAAGCATAACTTGATATCAAATACACTGTTTGGCAGCAACAACTTGGGTATCATTTGTACATTTCTGTAAATATGTTTATTCAATTAAATGCTTGTGAAGAACACAGGAACAGGCCACAGCTTACAAATGCATGAGAGAATGAATGGGCTTGGTATGGGGGATAAAAGGACAACTGCCAGGAACATGCTGAAGCAGGGCTGCACTCTCACCACAAGAACCCTGTGGAATTCACCCTGTTGCTTATAACACAAAGCTCTTCCAATACCTAAAGGGTATTGGAATCTAAAAACGACTGCAATTATGTGGAAGACAGGGCAAAGGGGGAATGGCTTTAACCTGCCAGAGGGGAGATTGAGATGAGCTCTTAGGCAAAAGCTTTTCCCTGTGAGGGCGCTGAGGTGCTGGCACAGGGTGCCCAGAGAAGCTGTGGCTGCCCCAGCCCTGGCAGTGTTCAAGGCCAGGTTGGACACAGGGGCTTGGAGCAACCTGCTCTAGTGGAAGGTGTCCCTGCCCATGGCAGGGGGTTGGAGCTGGATGAGCTTTAAGGTCCCTTCCAACACAAACAAGTCTGGGACTTTGTGATTTGTGGAAGGCAGGGACAAGTTCAGGGAGCTGCTCATTGGCTGGAACAAGAACTCTGGAAGCAGCTACTCTGAACTCTTCTTCCCCTATCCTCATGGGGGGGTGCAAGCACACCAAATCCCTATAATTGCACTAGTCTTGAAACATCTGCTATAATAATGAGCACCATCATGACCAGTGTAATAACCTGAGCAGTTTACAGGTAGCGTGCTGAGCTGTGGGCATGGTTTAAAGTTCAGTCTTCACATGTCTGAGTGTCAGATGTGCTGGGAGAGCGTTCCTGCTCTCTGCACTTGGTGCTCTGTTCTCAACTGGTTCAACTCAACTGTGACATCCAACTTTGCCCTGTGTTTCCACTTGAGCGGCTTTGTAGCCACCTCCTCTCGCTATCCCTGGTTCCGCTCGGCAGTTCCTGTGATGGCATGGTGAACCAGATGGATCTCAGCCCACCCTCCAAAAATGGATCTCTCTTCCTCCAGCCAAATCAGTTCTTCCCAGCTGGTTAATGGCTCAGCCGTGGGGAAAGCTGTGCCAGTGCAGAGGGGGTGGGATGTGAAGACGGGAGTGAGTTCCTGGAGGGGTGTGGGAGGATGAATATTGGTTTTAAGCAGCTTTCCTGCTGCTTATGAAACTAGAAGCTGGGCAACCATAACTCTTTGTGCAGTGAGTGGTGCCTTTCTATATTTTCCAGCACTTGAGATTCAGCATCGCTTGCTCTCTTCCGCTGCGTGCTCTGTCCTCCTTTGACCATGCAATTCCTGCTTCCAGTGTGTGCGCTGCTGCGTGTCCTGTACATGGTAGCTCTGTGGGAGGGAGAACCCATTTCTAGACCACCAGGGTCAGCCCAGGTGCCTGAAACCAGTGCTACAGCAGCCTGGGTCTGTGTCCAGAGGATGTCCTCTGTCCTTTATTAGATGTTACAGTTACTACAGCCCTTGTGGGAATTGTGCTTTCTGGAAGAGGCAACAATTAAAGACTGATACAATATTCTCTCACTTGGTTTACTACCTGTCACCATGTCTGAGCTCAATGAGGTGGGAGCTTGTGCAGTAATAGAATCCCAGACTGGTTTGGGTGGAAGAGACCTTAAAGCTCATCCAGTTCCAACCCCCTGCCTGGCTGTGAAGGTGAGATGCATATAGTGCTCCTGCCAAAAGCCACAACTAAAGACTGTAGTGTTCTCAAAAATTGGTAATTCAAGGTTTTAATAACTTCAGATACCTACTTCCAGAATACTGGCATGTAGGTAATTTCTAGGCTTTGGCAAGCATAGGAATGCAGCTCTGCAGCTTCTTTGCACAAGTGTCCTGAAGGCACACATGACTTTTCAGAAAGCTCATGAAGCAGCACTATGCAAAGCTCACTGTTGGAACTCACAGCAGTGCTCTCAGCATCATGGAGAAACCAAGTGCTCATGGTTCTGTTCTTCCAGGCTGCATCCCACATGCACTCAAAGATTAGTGCTGACTGGCTCTAAGGCACTGCTGGGCTGGTATGTTCCAAGAGATCCTGCAGCCTTCCAGCCCCTGGGCCTGAGCAAATCTCTTCGGGTTACACAGAAGAGATCTAACCAACTGCCAATCTCCTGTGCTGCAGCTTAAGTCTCACTAGCTTGTGCTACCTGAAGAGTTTTCTATGTGCTATCTATCAGTGTTCAAATTTTAGCTATTCTGACAGGCTGCTTACCAAAAGCTTTTAACTACACTCACTGTTCTCTTTTG